CAAATATTTCACATTCACTTTGCCAAGTTATTTTCAAATTAATTCTCTCTCTCTCTCTCTCACTCTCTCTCACACACACACACACGCGCGCACACACACACACACACACACACACACACACACACACACACACACACACACACACACACACACACACACACACACACACACACACACACACACACACACACACACACACACACACACACACACACACACACACACACACACACACACACACACACACACACACACACACACACACACACACACACACACACACACACACACACACACACACACACACACACACACACACACACACACACACACACACACACACACACACACACACACACACACACACACACACACACACACACACACACACACACACACACACACACACACACACACACACACACACACACACACACACACACACACACACACACACACACACACACACACACACACACACACACACACACACACACACACACACACACACACACACACACACACACACACACACACACACACACACACACACACACACACACACACACACACACACACACACACACACACACACACACACACACTGTCGAGCCTTAAATAACTCCATTACTTCATTATCAAGAGAATTTATTTTTTGCAAGGTATTTTTTTTAATATAATTGAATGAATTTATTAAACATGTTTTCGTTGATCTTTATTTATATTTTTGTTAGAGTATTGTTTTAGTCGAGCTTTATTTATTTTTTTTTTATTAGAGTTTATTGAATTGAAAAGGTGAATATTTCAACAAAGACATAAAAAAAGGAAATCTAATAGAAATTATGAAGAAAAGTTAATACGAAAATTAAGAGACTGTGTTTATAGATTAAAAGAAATAGAGATTTTTATTTTGTTTTATAATTAGTTCGTTTATTAAAAAAATTTTTCATTTATATTTGATTTTATTTTCTTTATTTAATTTTATTAGCAAGAGAATTAGAGATATATTGACCACTGGACATACACATTATTTTGGAAATGATGGTATTATTTTGGGAGGAGTTAGCAGAGTTATAGGCATAGAGTGAGTTGAATCATAACAAAATAGAATATAATAAATTTGCGGAATTTGTCTTAATCAACAACCGCCTTCTTGGATAGCTTATCATTCGGTTCACACTATGTTCATTCTAATTTTTTTTAATGGATTGTGCTAAGTAGTTTAGATCAAGACCCTTGTTTATCCTTCATTTAAAATTTGTAACTACATTTTCTATCCTATTTGACTCGTCTCAATGAATAATAATAATAATAATAATAATCGGTGTCTCATAAGTGTCCGCAATAATTTTTCTAACAATTTCATTTTTTATCTCTACTGTAATTACATGGTTATAGACAATATTTTTAAAGAATATTAAATATTGATGCAATAATCTTATGAGTTAATTAAAATACAAAATGATCGGAAATAACATGGAGATATTACTATAAGATTACAAGGGATAATTGCAACACGGTGAAATATATTAAACTCCTTGTATTAAATCACTATATTTTCTCATTATATTTTAAAATTAATTTATATCTATAATTTATCTATAACTTAAATTAATTCAGTTGTCATATAAAATTTTTTGGTAGTACTTTTTCATATAATTAAGTTACACTAACTCAATTTCTTACACCATTTGAAAGGAGAAGATGTTGACTACACAAAATATATAGTCTTTAAACAAATTCTTTTATCGTACCCGTATGTATCATTAAGTACATTAAAAAAATGTTCACACATTGATTCTCATTTTAGTTACACAAAATATCAAGATTATATTGTATTTTTTATATGATGGCTAAATATAATATTAGTTTGCTTTGATATACAAGCAAACTAGAGCATAACGAAGTCTTCCAATTATTTAAGGAGTTGAGGCGGAAGAATGTTGAAAATTGCTTCGACATAAAAGTAAGTAATAATTAACCATTTCTTTTATGCTTTTATAGTATAATCAATCAATTAGGTCATACTTATTCTCTATTTTTATAATTATATGTAATAAATTTTAGATAGGAGACTTTGAACATAAATGGAACACATGGAAGGATGATAAATAATTTCATCCATCGACAATCTCGAAAATAAGGTGCATTTACTTTTTTCACAATATGTATAAAAAAATATGTTCGTTGCATTTTCATCGCTCTTTCGCTAACACTTTTATCATCCTTATTAAAATAGGTCAAACATCTAAAAATTTACTTTGTCGGTTGGGGCTCCACAGTGATAACAGATAAAACACAACTTTGGAAAATAGTGAAAAAAGAAATAATATCTCAAAGGATGGAGAGATTTTATTTTATTCATTTAAGAATATTTATACCTAGAATATTTTTGAATACATGAATTTTACATTTATTATTGGTTTGTGTAAATAAAACCATAAATGTTCACTAAGTTCATTATTTTTCTTTTTTAACAGAAATCCACGTAATTCAAAAATAAGAAAGAGTTGTTGTTCTACCAGATCTAAACTAAAACAAAGTATCTTCATTCTCTAGTTATAAATTTTTTTATGTCACAGTACATCAGATTATATTCTAACAAATCACATGTTTTGAATATATTTATTTGTTGATATGACATTTAGTGATGCATTTGTATTTTTCTTAATCTAAAGAGCACATCGATAAAAGGATGTATGAAGAATTAATTCGAATTTTTACAATGTAGAAAAGTACTATATTACACTAATTACTATTACTTTCAGTATATTTTTCTCTAAAACAACTCTAATGTGAGAGTCTTATATTTTTTCTTTACTATGAAAAATAATTGAAGGGAAAAGAAAATTTTTCGGATAAATTTTTTATGTTTGACCTTCCTTTTAAAGAACATTATTGATTACAGTATAAATAATATTTTGTATGCATCAGTTATTGATATAATTTAGAACATCGTTGTTTACTATTTTCAAAATGTAATAATATTATTAACATGTTTAGACAACATATTTTTTTTATCTAAATTAATTTAATTCTAATAATTGCAAAAACATATTTTTAAAATAATAATAGCATTAGTATATATAGTTAATTCACAAAAGTATTTTTAAAATATATATTTATCATCTTGATTTTAAGTCTACTTTAGGATGTCTAAAAAATATTATTTTTAATGCGAAGTACGATAAAAAAACCTTATAAATAATATACACACGTTTATTTTTCTCTATTGTGCGCATTAAAAAAAGCGGACAGACGGGCATGGGAGTGGCCGTCTGAACGCTAGTATATATAGTGAAAATTGGTAAGTTATATGAGAATCTGAGAATGTATAACAACCATAAGATTTAAAGTGAAAGGTTGAGATTAAATCATATATTTCAGTGAATCATGTGCGAAAAATCGAACGCTTTTAAGATGAGAGAGAAATTAATAATCAATGTGAGAATGAGGTTTGGTTTGGTTTAGTGGAGAAGATGAAAATTGTGTTTTCGAGTTAATAAAATATGGGGTTTCGTTGGTTGGATGGAGAAGATGAAGAAGAAGTTTTGTTCGCTAAGGCTACAAATATCAAAAAATGCAAAATTGAACTAGAGCTAAAGTTGTGTTTTGGAAAACAATATTGCTAAATATTTTCCTCTTAGTTAGCAGTTACAACCAAGAGAATAAATGATTTAAATTTTAAATAAAAAAATAAAATAAAATAAAATAAGGGCACCATTAGTTTATCAGTCGGTTGTATTTAAAAATCAATGGAATAACTAATTTACATTTTAAATAAAAAATATAATAAAATAAATGCGTCATATTAAAAGAAATATAATTTGGGGATTCAAAATGTGTACATAAGAGATTTGAACCATATCTCTGAGGGATTTTATTTTATTTTCTCTCAGTTGTCCGTCCAACAAAGGGAATAAATGAATTTTACCGTAGACTGAAAAAAAATTGAAAAATGAAATGGTGAGTTGTAATGAATATCACTTATAACTTGTTAAGATTAACCATTTAATGTTTTGGTTATACTATCTTCTAAGTATGATTAAACATAGATTTATTAATATTGTCGGCCAACGCAAACAATAAATCATTGAATTTTTTCCTAGACTGAAAATATTGAAAAATTATTCTCAAATATAACAATTAGATCAACACATCAAAATAACCTTATCAACAACAAAATCAACAACAACAATTACAATATTAAAATAGAGTTTAATTTATGAGAGAAATATGAATTTATAAATAGAAAATGATGTTGAGGCAGAAAAATGAGTTAGGGCAAAAGTGAAAGAACTTAATTTATATATCAAACTGAAATTATTTATTTTTAATTTTAAAATAAAAATGTCTATCAGTTTACTTATAAGGATGAATTACAGTCAATAAATTGCTTAAACCAAAAAAACAAGAGAGAAGTAGAATAATAAAATTACAAAAGAATTAGCAAATATAACAACAATACAGATTTAAGGTCAAACAAACACAAACTTAGAAAGGGTTTGACTTCGAGCATGTAAGAGTTCCCCCATCAAAATAGTAACCCACTAAAATCAGTTCATTGCATACAAGCACACCTAGATTTATGGATGACTTTACGCTATGAATAGTCAATGGAGTACGTTACTTTGCATCAACAAAATCAACAGAGTTCATTTCAACATAAGCAAAATCTGAACAATAATCATTTTACTAAAGATTTTCAACTCTTGTTTAGGACACTAACTAACCAGACATTTGAAATTTGTTAGGTTTACTGACATCTCACGACATTTATTGGTAACCTTGATTCAAATATGAGAACTGTTCACTTTATTAGTAACATCACTTTCATATGTACCAATTTCCTTCCAATCAAAAGAACGTGCCTTGTGTGTTTTCTTAGCAAAGGTATTTGTCACATGCTTTTTAAGTTTACAAGTTTCATTTTACCTATAAATAGGATCTCTCCATGATGCTATTTCAGCAATAGAAAGCCTTGATTTTCATTCAACATAATGGATACCAAACTCAAATCATCTGTCACATTCCTCACTCTTATTCTTCTTGTTTACTTCTTTATCTCTTTGGCTCCTAATGTATCAGAAGCTAGGCCATTGTTCAGTCTTTCACAAGGCAGTGAAGGTGCAATTGGAGAGGTAAATGGAGTGTTTAGGACTTTGAAGGGAGATGGTCCATCACCTGGAGTTGGTCATAGGTTTATTGGAGGGATGAAGGATTCTGGTCCAAGCTCTGGCGGTGTTGGGCACAGGATTATTGGAGGGGTGGAAGATTCAGGTCCAAGTTCTGGTGGTGTTGGACACAAATACATAACCAACAACAAAAACAACCATTCTTAAAGTTCACATTCCTTTTGCTTTTATTTGTTATGACTCATTACAAATACATAGTATTAGCTAATAATTACATTGTGATATATAATAGTATCACTAAACCTGTTACTAATTGAAGATAATATTGTATAACATGGCTTTGATTTAATATATACTGATATAATTTGTTACTCTTGTTGTAGATTATTTTCTTTCTTCTTAATGCTGATACTACCAAATAAGGGTGTAATATAATACTTCACTCAAATTTTGATTTTGCATCTCTCATCAAAAATAAATAAATTAGTTGTTTATTATAATTTATGTAGAATGTTGATTTCATCAATTGCTCGTCACTAGATATATTAGTTTTTAAAATTAGTTAGAAATTTATAATATGATAAGTTAAGTTATATGTTAGAAAGAGAAATCTCAGTAATCAATATTTTACAAAATTTTTACAATTCATTATTTGCATTACGTATATTTAACGATTATAACTTATTTTAATATTTCTAATTCTTCTGCTATTACTTCATTCACCTCTAATTTATTTTATAAAATATTATTTATTTTATAGATAAAATTAAAGATGAGGAAAGTGATAGTTGAATAACTAATAGCATTGAACATAGTTTTCACAATTAATGAGCAAATATGAATAATATTTTGCAATAAGATGGTAAAACTTAGGCCCCGTTTGTTTTGACTTTTTTTTAAAATTATTTTTATAGTATAATATAATTTTTTGGAAAATAATTTTATAAAGAAAATTTTTATAAAAGTTTCAAATAAAAATTTAGTTTGAATAGTTATTCTTAAAATATTATTTTAGATATCTTATCATTTTATCGAAATTTTTTTTAGATATCAGAATTTCAATTTTTTTTAAAAACTTGTGATTTTGACTATGTTTTGATCTCGAATAATGTTCTTTTTGTTGTTAATTTCTTTAGAATCCATTTTCAAAAATACAAAAACAAAATCAATTTTTTTAAAGCTAAAACAAAATGTCCCTTAATAAGTTTTATTTTTTTAATATAGCTTAACAATTCATATTTTAATTTTCTAATTCAGTTTAAAGGTTTTATATATATATATATATATATATATATATATATATATATATATATATATATATATATATATATATATATATATATATATATATATATATATATATATATATATATATATATATATATATATATATATATATATATATATATATATATATATATATATATATATATATATATATATATATATATATATATATATATATATATATATATATATATATATATATATATATATATATATATATAAAGGGATTAGAACATGTTTCAGTGCTTCTACTTCATCTTCTAGCACTTTCTTTACCACTAATTTATTTTGCAAACTATTATTTATTTTGTAGATAAAAAAAGAGATGAAGGAAGTGATAGCTGAATAACTAAAAGCATTGAACTAAATTCTAACAATTAAAGAGTAAAATATGAATAAAAGGTTGCAAAAATCTCGTAAAACATTGATAAGGATCAGTTGTTTTCTAATATAACTTAACAACTCATATTATAATATTCTAATTTAATTTAAAGGTTAAATATTGATTCACTTAGGAGTTGTAAAAACATTCAAAATACATACAATATAATAAACTCATCTTTTATGAAATGTTTAATGAACGTAATGAAAGCTATAATATACAACAACATATAATTTTCATCGTTAACAAAATATATATATATATATATATATATATATATATATATATATATATATATATATATATATATATATATATATATATATATATATATATATATATTCGATTAATCAATAGATTGATTTCTTAATAAATCTAAAATTTATTTTTTTAATATTTAATGACTTCATCAGTTTAAAAAAAAAATTGAATTAATTATGCTATTCAAAAAGATGTAATGACACAATTTGTTATTACACGTTTGCCTTCTATTTTGGTATAAATTACTTTTTTATTTAAAATATTGCGTTTTAAAAAATAACTGATACTCACATAATAATTATTAAAATATACTTATTAAATAATTTATAAATATAAAATATTCCAACAACTTGGCTTCAGAAATAATTCTTAATTAATAACCAAAGCGGATTCCATTTTGAATTATATGTACCTTTTTTTTTGTTGTTGTCATAGTCTCTGCTTAAAATAATGGAATACACATTATTGAGGGATTTATATTCTCTAAGCAATCCATAAATCTTAACATCCAAATCTAATTCAGTTAAGTTTTTTATTCATTAACGCGCAAGACCCTAAATCGAATTGTTAGGTTCAAAGCCATCTCAGGACTTTCACTAAATTCCTAAGCTAGATTCTTTCAAAGTCAAACATGTATGTAAATAGTAATTGAGTTCTTATAGGAAATTTCTGGTAGCAATTTCAATCTCAGCTTTAGGATGCGTGAGATACTACAAATAATTCTGAATTCTGCTCAAATATGTCATTTTAAGTTGTCATTTTAAAAACAGTAGTATGTCTGAGACGAGTTGGGAGACAAGCTCCAGAATGAATTTTCAAAATTTCCACACACACGTGATTCAAAGAATGAGTGTGTTTTTTTTTCTCTATTACCAGTTAGGATATTCTCAGGACCCGCACTTTATGACCCAACTCCACTTTTAATAATGTGCTTGAAAAGAAAAAAAAAAAACAAATTAGACTGGAAAAGTAACACATTACAAACCAAACTAAGACATCATATTCTTAGTTACTTTGACACTTCTTTTTACAAGTGATATACAGGTTGACGACAAAACCAAGTAAAAAATATTTTTTTAGAAATCTTAAGCAAGATGTAAGGCCAGAATAACTTGAACTAAAATAAAGAGAGACTCAAATTATTGATAATCAATTACAATTTATATGTTTGAGAGGTCGATAAAAAAAACAATTTATCTAATACAATATTTGATTGAGTCGTATCAAATTTATCAACAGAACTTGCACACTTGAAAAGGTGTATTATATAGTACCTAGAGAAACTTTGTGGAAAACTTTGAAGAAGAAAGAGCCTAGAAATGTATGAATTTAAGATATCTAAGATACGTATTGGAGAGTCTAGATAAGTGATAAGACATACGATAAAGAGACAGGGGTGTAGATAAGTGTTAAGACATATAGTAAAAAGACAAACGATTTTCTTATAAAAATAGAATTACATCAAGGTTCAACCTAAGTACTTATCTTTTTACTTTATATTGAGATGCACATACATAACACATCCAAGAACTAAAGTACTTATCTTTTAACTTTATATTGAGATGCACATACATAATACATCCAAGAACTAGCATTGCAAAATATGTTTTTTTACATCATATAGATCTACTCGATAAGTCGATGGAGAAGTTAAATGAAAGATTGGAAAGGAGTCTTAGAAGTGTATGAGTTTTGCCTAAGCAGAAGTGACACAAAACATGTGGAATCTAAGTTAACTAAAAGGACAGGTGTTTCTAACTTAGAGGTGAAACTTGAAGATTATATCATACCACATATGTTACACAATTTAAATATCTTGCATACATGATACAAAAAAATGGATAAATAGAAGTACTACTACAAAATATATCTTTTGTAATATGTTATTACCTCGCATGTTCATTCAAGTGAAGTAATAGGTAATATTTAAGCGCATTTAGTTCTTTTATTAAAAGATCTTCAATACGGTCCTCAATAATAATTGTGGTGAAAAGTAAGAAGGTGTCACTTTTAACTACGGTTGAAATTTCAACCTTGGTGAAAAGTGGCGTCTGGTCATGGGTTCAAATCTCGTCACCAACATTTTTTATTTTTTACTTATTTTAAGCCACTTTTTACCATGGTTGGAATTACAATCGTGGTGAAAGTTAGCATATGGTCATGAGTTTGAATCCCAACACCAACAGTTTTGAATTTTTACTTTTTTTAACTGCACGGTTAGATTTCTACCGTGATGAAAAGTGACGTCTTTTTTATATTTTTAAAGATATATAATGTTATTAGTTCATTCACTTTTTTCATAGACTTAGACAAACTTCATCTTCTGTATCCAAACTTCTTCCATTTACGAAACATTATTCATCTACTAAACCAAACTTGAAAACATAATTTCTTCCATAAACAAAACTAAAAAACAATTCTTTCATTAACGAGTTTCACAACTCCATCATCTCTTTTCTAAATAGAACGAGACATTGAAAGCATGAATTCAACTTACCAACGTTAACTGTTGTTGTTTTTTCAAGTAAAATTCTCTTGTTTAACGATTCTATTCATTTATTTTGTTGTTATTATTTTTGTCGTTGTTTTTGTTAGCAACCAATGGGAAAAGTCACTATGAAGCGTGCTTCAAATCTAGCAGGACAATTTTAGTTTTTTTTTTCCAATTTTTTTATTCTTTTTATTTTATATTTTAATTAAAAATTAAACAATTTATTCTCGCAGTTGGGGAAGAAATCGAAGGGAAAGTTTCTCATGAACACGTTTCGAATTCCAACAACTGCAGTTTTTGCTTTACTTTTTTCAATTGGTACCTTATGTATATTTTATTTTTCAATTAAAAAAAACAATTTATTCCTGCAGTTGGTCACGCCAACCGATATGAAAACCCTTGTTTATTATCTCAAATGGTCATGCTCAGCAATAGGAAAACTATTGTTTTTTTAAATTGAAAATAAATTATCTATTCTTTCTATTGGGCAATCAAACCGATACGAAAACTCTAGCCGTCATATTTTCCAGAATAAAATGCTAACATTCATTCGGTATTGCATTGTCAAACTTCCATTCATTATTTCAAAGAGCCATAAACGAACTTCATCTTCTACCTCCAAACTTCATATTCTATTAGTGATGTTTTTATTGATTTTGTTGTTATATTGTTGTTGTTGTTGTTGTCGTTGTTGTTTTTGTTGTTGTTTTTGTTGTTTCTTTATTGGTAAAATATTGAATATTGTTGAGATTGAATTTTTAAAGGTTTATTATTGTTGTTGTTGTT